ACAGCGATTTAAGCTAGGTAGCGGCTGTCTTTAGAGTTAGCCTCTTACATCTGCGAGTAACCTCACTCCAGCTGGAACATTTCGGTCTTAGATTTGAAGATCTTTTTATTCTGCTGAAAGTTTATTATGAACATTCAAAAATATTCAGCCTTACATTTTGATCGTGGTTCAAGGTGAAAAAACAAAGGTGAAGCGTGTTTGTTCAGTCATTTTGAATTTAAAATACAGAATATGATAATAGAGTAGAATCAGCAGCAGAACCAAGAGTATGAGTACAATCTCCATCTTGCTCCAGTCAGGCTTCCACCTGTGTACACAGAACAGAGACAGTTCATGAATTTCAAAAACAGCAGTTTATGAAAGATATGAAAACAAATATGAATGTTTATACACGGCCTGAAGACTCACATGTGACATGGTCTGCCAGAGTTACCAGGTCTGAACCCTTTTGAAAACCTCTGGGAGATTTTGATCAGGTGACGTGTTAAACGACTTTTCAGATTGGATTTATTCCTCTGTTGGAGGTGGGGTGATATTAACATTACATGCACTGGTCAGTGATTTTTATACTTGTCTGGAGCACATACAGACAAGATGAGACTGTGACTTTGTGCCTGCACAGATGTCCCCTCAATAAACAAAACAAAATCTTTAACAGTCCTGCTTGTTTCCTTTGAGAAAGTTAAGTATTCCTTCCAGACACTAGGAAGATAATTGTGACAAGGACAATTCCAGAATTTAAAATTAGATACTTAATTAAGAATTAACACCCGACAACACAACATACTTGACTCTTAAACGTTCATGAGAAAACACACACAGCAACCCGACCATGCTCATTGGTACCAAACAGCAAATTTTCACATTAAACATAGAACTCACCGGCCCTCATGGCTAGTTCTTGTCACCCCCCTCCTTCCCTCCCCACCAACCAAGCAACAGCCGGAAGACGCAGAGAAATAGCAGGTTCAAAATAACACCATCTTCCTCGAGTTATTTACCCAAGCGACAACTGAATAAATGACCAAAGGTGCTTTTCAGAACATAACTATGAGTTCAACAAACAGTGAGAAGATTTGGGACCTAAAACAACAACAATGACACAGATTATGGATATGAAAATGTCAAATACAATTACATTTTTTTTAGAATGTGGTGTTAAACTGTATCATAACATGTTAAATTGGGGGCTCTTTGGTCTGGACAACATATCATTTATGGAGTCCTGAGGTAATAATTACAAATCATTACAGCTCCCCTGATGATACTGTGTCATCATTAGGAGAGTGGGTGCTGGCAGGTGAGTCCCTGGACTGAAGCACAGAGCACTGAAAACAGTTGAAAGCAGCATGAAAAAGACTGTAAATAGACTGTTGGACTGTCCTCTGACGTTGAACTGTCAGTTGTTTATTCTTGACTTAAGAAGTGAATTTTACGTCTGAACTGTGAGAATGAAGTGATGGAAACACTTTACAGCCCATGAATTACAGTGTAATTATCAGGTACAGATGGAGCATTAAAATATTTACTGGGTTTTTTTACACCAAGGACTTAAATAAATTACACTGTAATTTAATGAATTACACTCCCATATTTGACTCTTGATCCATAAGAAGATATATTTGTGATTTTAAGAACCAAAAACCATCTCAGTGTAGTTTTACATCTCCTCTCTCAGGCTTCTCTCTGAAGCTCTAGTAACAACAGGTCAGTGAGCCAATCAGAAGAGAGGAGGCTCTGAGCCTCTCTTCTGATTGGCTGAATGTTGTCAGAGTGATCCAATAAAAATATAGCAGATTTCAGGTAAAAAAAACACCAAATACCGCAAGGTTTGGGT